CGCCCACTTTGAATAAAAAAGAAGAGAAAATTAGATGTATCACGGTACACGCCGACCTCATAACGCCTCAAGAACAGAAAAAAAGGTCAATGGTTCTTAGAATGAGAGATGGAATCATGCCACGACACCGGGTATTATTTGACCTTTGAGGGTGATTACTAGGGCTAAAATGTCGTAAGTTAGACCAGAGAGAATGCTTCTGACGCCCCCTTCCACCCCCTTCCGCCCCCCAGACGGTTTTATGACGCCCGCGCTCTAGTCTTTGAAACGCCAGACACACCGTCAAATTAGACCCAGCGGATGCCGGACGACATAATATATAATAATTCATCAGCTTTCTCTGTAATGGGGGTTACAAGGGTCTGCTCCATGCCTGATAAAGAGGAGTTCTTCTAGAAATGTCAAGGACAACTCGCCAATCGGTTATAAATGACGTCATTATCTAGTGTGAGCTGGAATGCAGAATAGTTCATGTTTTAGGTACTTGGGGTGGGGAGGGGGGGGGGCTATTTGAACATAATCAATATTCCTCAACGGCATCCAATGATCGGCCTAACTCAATATTTCTGTCAGTTTCCAGACAAAGCTGTTTTTCGTACGAAGACATTAATGGGCATATTGCATTGCTTACAATAATAAGATAGATATGTTCACTTTTTGATATTTTCTTCCTGGTTTGTTTTGTTGGTTGCTTTTTTGGTTGTTTTTTCGAAACAATTTTGTTTTGTCAGTTTTACAAAATACTATTTGAAAAGGATAAATTACGAGTGCCTAAGAAATGGTTTTTATTTTGGGCTTTTTCTTTTTTTAGTTTTCTTTTAAAACTTTTTTTAAAAAATGACTCTTTCGCTTATGAAATGTCGTTAACGAATTGCCTGCTGTTATTTTTTTAATCACTTACTTTTCTGATGAATAATCTAGTGAATGGTGTAAGTTGCGTTATTTTTTTCAAAGTAGACAAGACTTGATATTCAACGTTCATAAAATTTCTATTGGATTTATCCACGTTTTCTCGGGAAAGCTCACAAAGTACAATTCCTTCCAGACATTGAAATATTCAGGTGAATAGACATTGTTAATTCCATTAATCTTTGAAAAAGATGTTTCTCGAAGTGTTTTCAGCTATTTTTACGAGAATTTTCAGGAAGTACAGAAGTCATTCCAAACACGCATTAAAACACCATAGATTCCGAAATATGAAAAGCTTTGTTAGTGTATGAATAATTCCTTTCCCATGTTCCGTGCTGTGCGCTTAGTTTCAATTTCCTCCAAGTTTTACGACATGGCAATTTTATTTAAAAACTTCATGCCAAAGAAAAAAACATAGAAAAGAGTAAATGTAGTAAGACAGCTGGTATTTTAGTATTTCAGTGTATTTTTTCCGCGGAATATGGCCAATCAATATTGCACTTTAAGAGTTGCAAAGTGTGAAATAAGAATATTGAATAGTATTTTTGTGTCTTCCGCAAAGTGTGAAATAAGAATATTGAATAGTATTTTTGTGTCTTCCGCAAAGTGTGAAATAAGAATATTGAATAGTATTTTTGTGTCTTCCGC